CGGTGAGCCCAGCGTCCTCCTACGCCGCCATCTTCCCTCTGAATAGCATTTTTTAAAACGTATACTACATCCTGGTCCTTAAAGAAAAGCTAGTTAATTAAATAAGGATCAAGAACTAGATGAAAATATATGGAAGCTTTAAGCCAATCCTACTGGAGCTTTCCAGCACTTAAAAGAACGTTTTTCCTTCACTGTTCGTTAAATTCAACTACCTTATGGTTTCTGCAATCTCTAGATCATTACTCTTATCCATGCTTACTAGCTATAAGGGAATATTTCAGCTAAAGCAAGACAAGAAGCAAATGAAAGAGAAACACAGCAAGGGAGTGAACCATGAGGCCATCAAAATTATCGGTCTAACACAGCAAAAGAAACTGAAAAGGTGAGGCTGGGGGCAATGGCTGAACTCTGCATGCAAAATGGAGACACATCTTCCTAGAAGGGTCACTGCAGGAAAGAGATCTAAATTAAAGTTTCTAGCACATGGTAAACATTACTAGGAGCTTAGAGTCTAGCAAGGAGAATTAACTGTAGCAGCACAGCATTGTGGCTACAACACAGGGCCTGCCTGGTTTGAATCCTGGCTTCACCACATTCTAGATGTGTTCACTTCGGGGAAGCTACTGAACCTCTCTCTTTGCCTCAACTTTCTCATCTGTAAAATGAGAATACCTTTTCCTCACAGGGGATTAAATGAGTTAGCATATGTCAAATTCTTAGAAGAATACATGACAGGTAATAAGTGCTCAACAAACATTAGCTATGTGTATAATACAATCAGCTGAGGGAACTGATGAAAGTGCCAAGCATTCTGTCTTGGGGTAGTGGTAGTGATCAAGCAAAACTACAGAGAGGTCCTATCTGAACTAGATGTTGAGAGATTAAGAGGTCAGCCACTAGGCAAAGGGGAAAGAGACAATTCCAGCAAAGAAAACAAACTACTGCACCAGTGGGAATGGAGAAAAGGATGAGGTCTTTTAACCAATACAGTATACTACCTCCTATCATCAAAGAAACTAATACATATTCAGCATCTACTTGGAATACTGAAAGTACATGTTGCTTCCCACGGCAACCAAGCATTGTTATCCCTATTACACTTAAAGCCACTGGGGCTCAAAGCGGTAAAATAATATGCTCAAAGCAGTAATTGGGAAGTCCAGGCAGGATTCAAACCCTGGTCTGTTTAGAAGCCAATGTTCTTTCTACAGTACATGTTATTCAAATAATACATAAAAATTAGGCTGCTTATATATTATATTAGATTGCATATATATTATGTCATACTGGTAGAAAGTTAAAGGTCTAGAAAAAATAACCCATAGCAGTTTTAGGGGGAAATGGCATTTTAAGATAAGACTTTATAAAGTGTCAGATAAAGTGTGTCCTCTGGAATTAGATTTTTGAAGTCCCCTCTCACTGAGGACCAAGAATGCAGTGTTCAAGGCACTGTGGAAATTGAATTCAACGTCTAGTTATGAGATTATACTACGTGTCAGGCACTGTGCTAGGACTAGGAGAAATGACACTGAGCCAAGATGACCACCTCACTTTCCTCCCACTGGCAGAGCAGAATGTATAAATAGTGGCTCTGGTGCTCCACAGACTGCCCAAGTTCAAATCCTCAGTCACCTGCTTACGCACTATGACTTGGGGCAAGTTACTTAAGTACCCCAGTTTCATCATCTACAAAATGGAAATGATAATCATACTCGCCCCCCAGAGTTCTGTAAAAGCATCAGGAAAGCGCCTGGCAGTCAACAAATTTTGTCTCTTGTTACCATTAGTTGGGAAATGAATGGAAAGAAATAAATGGTACAAAATAACAGAAGAAAACAACTACAAAATTGAATCACCAAATGCAACTATGCAATAGAGTGTATATAAAAGTGGTCTAAATAAAGAATAAATTGGGTCCATCGAACGATGTACGATATCATTAACAAAGAGGTGGAGATACGGCAATATAGGTACAACCCAAAAGGTCGAGAACATTTCATTAAGACTTTACAGCAGCTCAGTCAGAAGTGAGTGAGGAAAGACGGAGGATACTGGGCTGAAGGCCAGTCGGGTTCTCTCTCACTCAGTTTTCAAAAACCATTTCTAGAGCAGCCTGATGGAAGAACAGTGTTGAAAGCATCTAGTTGCTTCTCTCTGGTTGGACTTCCGTTGAACTCCCTGTTCTGTGAAGCCTCCAAATTGCATTCCCTGCCTCCTCTCTCAACTCCACACCGTTAATTCTCTTCCAGCGTTAGAATGACGTACCTAAAACCAAATATGACCACGTCGTGCCTTTCCGTAGACACTTTCTAACGACAGCCCGGTGCCTACTGCACACAGCCTCGATTCCTTAGGACACACGAGGCCTTCGCACTCGGCCTCCACGCTACTCTCCCATCGGTGTCTCCTTCCACTCCGGCCAGGCGGCAGGCCACTGCGCCCCTTCAACGCACCGGTAAATTTCCTACTGTCACACCTGGGCACCAGCTGTTCTGCCTACTCATTGTACCCTAAGTCACCAAAACCGCCGGTCGCTCCAGCCTGCAGGCTGAGTCTCTCTCCGGCTTCTCGCCGCCTCCCCCTTTCCCTTTCCCAGCAGCAGAGGGTGAACACCGGCACCCGGGTGGGCGGCCCCTCAGACCGCCCCGCCCCGCCCCACAGGCCTCACGCCCGGCGCCCCCTTCCCTTCACCGACCGCGTTTCCCCGGGCGGGTCCCGGCACAGTTCAGCGCGTCTAGGCGCCGAGGGAACAGCGGACGAAAGGCTCCCCCAGGTCCATCACCTTCACTCCTCCCCCCGTAGTCAAAGCCGGACTGGAGGCGAGAAAGGAAGGGGTTGCCCGCGGGGCCTACGCCAAGATCCTGAGGACCAGCGTGCCTCTTACCACAAACACGGCCTCAGGAATCCCCAGGTGGAGCCGCCGGCCGTTCCCTGCGGCCACTTCTCCTAATCCACAACCGTCCTTAGCGGCCGCCATCTTGGGAAAGCGAGCGCGCGACTAGCCGCCTCTCGAGCCGCCAACCGCCGGTGGCCCCCTGATTGGCTCGCTCACAGCTGCAGGCCCGCCCCACTCTTGTGAATCTGCGCGTTCATAGGCGCGCAGGAAGTAGCCCCTCCTTCTCTCGGAGGAGGAGGTGCCCAACCTATGGGTACCGATTGGCTGCGAGCAGGTGAGTGACAAGTGACGAAGTGTCGCGAGGGAGATGCCGGCTTTGCGGGAAGAACCAATGCGGACTCCGGGAAAGAGGGGTACAGGGGATTTTGTGGGTGGGAGGACTCGAGGGCCCTTAGAATCAGAGGTCCAACTGGAACGCCAGTAACGCGCCAAAACGGGCAGCACCCTCCAGAATGGTCTTTGAAGCGACTCGATCCCCCTCTCAGCTTCAAGGTGAACCAGGGACTAGACGCCATCGGGGAGCCTTGGTCTCGGTGCCTTTCTGGTCCCACCATCCCAGCGAGCTTCCTGGCCCTCAGAGGGGACTGGTTTTGTGCCTGCTTCGGTATGGAGCCGTTGGCCCGCTTTTAATAAATACCCAGCCCACTGCACCAACCTTTCCCAAAAGCCACCTTTGATCACAATCTTGCCACCCCAACTCAAACGTTTTCAAAACTTCATGTTCTACATACAAAATCCTAAACTCTTCCGAGGCTTCCAGTCCTAAGGCCTTCCCCAATGTCGTCCGCCACTACAACCCTTTGAAAGCAAGTGCGCTATACAGACCGAAGTAATTATTCTTTGGTCTCCTTTCTAACAACTAACCACCCTGCTCCTTCCTGCCTTTGCTTACATTGGAGTGCTTTCCAGTGAAGCGGTGTTCCATCCGTTCACACAAACCCTACCATGAGCCAGCTCGTCGACGAATAAAGGATGTTAGTTTCTCTTACTCAGTGGGGATACATATGTAATGATAATACTTATTAACATTTATCAAAGGCTAATTATGTGCCAGTCACTGAGTATGTGATTTAATCACAGCAAGCCCAGTGTGACAGGGAATATTTTCACCCACAGTTTATAGACAAACTAAAGAACCTTAAAAATGAACTGATAAAGCTTTGGGGTGATTGTGGGGTGGTCCGGAGCTGACAGCCAAGAAAGAATTCTTGAAGATGTCTTTGGTGCAAAAAGGTGATTTTATTAAAGCATGGGGACAGGACCTGTGGGCAGGAAGAGGTGCAATGGGGTCGTGATGGGTAACTGTTTATATACCCACAGGTTGGGGGGGGTGGGGCTTAGGGACAGCGTAAGTCTCTAAGGAATCTTGGAAGCAAGGTTTCCAGGACCTTGGGGAACTATCTGTTGCTAGGAAAATGCCATTTATTACCATTTAGTAAAACCTCAGTCATGAGACCCTTCAGATGTATATTAGGGAGCCATAAGCTTGAAGTATGATTGCCAGCATATATCCTGGGGCAGTTGAGATAAGGAAGTTTCCAAAGAAGTTTTATACATTAAAGTAGACTTACAGGTTCCTGCGGGGTGGGTCAGGATAATGTTAAGCCAAGATTCTCTTTTGCCCCCAGCAAAGTGTCATCATAGAGGCAGCTGAGCTCCTAGAGGGACGTCACTCTGCCGGTTTCAAGGACTTGTCAATAAGCGGCTGTAGGCCGTAAGGGAACTTAATTTTTCATTTGCCTTAGTTTCCCACATCACCATGGCATGCACTTAAACCCCTTTCCTTTGTTTTTGGGTAGCCAGGAGTGTCTAAGGAATGTCACACATACCCCACCTGGGGGTGGGGTGCTGTTAGCCTGTACTTTGCCCTCAGCTTGCCCCACTCTCCCTCATCATGGGGTGAGGGATGGCTCATTTGTGGATGGATCATTTGTGGGGTGCCTGGATGGCTCAGTTGGTTAACCATCCAACTTTGGCTCAGGTAACGATCTCGTGTTCATGGGTTAGAGCCCAAGTGGGGCTCTGTGCTGACACCTCAGAGCCTGGAGCCTGCTTTGGGTTTTGTGTGTGTGTGTCTCTCTCTCAAAAACAAATAAACATTAAAAAAAATTTTTTTTAATGTTGACAGCAGTAATTTCTGGCTACAATTTGAAGTCCCTGGATTTCTCCATACATTGGCAGCAGGAAGAAGTGGAACAGTTGTTTTTGGAAAACTTTTGGCAGTTTTGGGGCACCTGGGTGGCTCAGTCAGTTGAGCATCCAACTTCGGCTCAGATCATGATCTCATGGCTCGTGAGTTTGAGCCTCGCATCGGGCTCTGTGCTGACAGCTCAGAGCCTGGAGCCTGCTTCGGATTTTGTGTATGTCTCTCTCTCTCTCTGCCCCTCCCCACTTGCACTCTGTCTCTCTCAAAAATAAAATAAACATTAAAAATTTAAAAAAAAAACCTTTCGGCAGTTTTAATTTTAGACAAACACCTATTCTATGACTCACCCATTCCACTCCTATATATTTACCCAGGAGATATATCCATGTTTGTCTGCAAAAACATTCATACAAGCATGCTTGTAGAACTTGTATGTGTACATTAGTTTAAAATTTGGCTTAGGGGAGCACCTGCATGGCTCCGTCGGTTAAGGGTCTGACACTTGGTTTTGGCTCAGGTCATGACCTCACAGTTCATAAGATCAAGCCCTGCATCAGAACCTGCGCTGACAGCACGGGGCCTGCTTGAAAGTCTCTCTCTCTCCCTCTCTCTTTCTGCCCCTCCCCCATGCTCTCTCTCTCAAAATAAATAAATAAACATTTAAAGATATTTTTTAAAATACAATTTTGTTTAGGGGCACCTGGGTACCTCAGTTGTTAAGCATCTGACCCTTGGCTTGGCCTCAGGTCATGATCTCATGGTTCATGGGATTGAGCCCCACCTGTGCAGAGCCTGCTTGGGATTCTCTTTCTCCCTCTCCCTCTCCCTCTGCCCCTCCCTTGCTTGCACTCTCTCTCTTTCTCTGTCTCTCTCAAAATAAATAAATCTACTTAAAAATAATAAAATTTAGTTTAAAAATAATGAGTAAGAAGAAAGATTTTCAGATAAACAAAACTGAGTTTATCACAAGCATAACTAAACTAAATGAACTTCTAAAAGATGTACTTCAAAAAAACGAAAATAATTACAAGAATTACAAGAAAGAATAGCGAACAAAGAATTCGTAAACACATGGCTAAATCTAAGCAAAAACTGTTTCTGTAAATACTAATCCCTTTTTTTTAAATTATGCTCAACATAGGGCTCAAATTCATGACCCCAAGATCGAGTTGCATGTACTACCAGCTGAGCCAGCCAGATGCCTCATATAAATACGAATACTTTTTATCTGGGGGGCTAACAAAACGGGACAGGTCTAAAATATTGGACCACCATAGTATATAAGTTGGGAGGGAATGGCCTTACAGTTTAAAAGTGTTCTATGGTCCTTGTGTTATTTGGGAGGGAAAATTAAGATATTAACTTTAGTTTTTGATAATTTTGCAGGATACAGTTTCAAGAATAACTATTAAAACAAGAGAAGTAGAGTGCGTCAGCTCTAAAACATTGAATTGAAGAGTCTCAAAAGTACTGATGGTTCAAATGAATGTTTACTTTGCTTGGCAGATGTGGATGGTTCAGTTCAGGCTTTAGAGAGATCATCACCTTTTTTTTCACCTCTGAATATGAATCTTTGTGCTTTGATACTTCTACATGGATTGTGTCTGCATGAAAGAAAGATAGATATGTAAGTCTTTTATCATTTCTACATATTTTTCCCTGTGGTTATAAAATAAATTACAAATTTTTTACACCAACCTCTGGTCCATCTTAGTATCTAATACTCGAAGGTTTGTCAGGCCTCCTAAGACACATATTCAGGAACTAGGGGACCCAATACATCACCTAAAGACTGAAGGAAGAAAATTCTAGAAAATAATACTCTGAAGCAATGACAGTCTCCCATATGCTTCAGCTACATGCATCCACATTTCCACACTTGCATGCACTTCTATGCCGAAGCTGTTTTCTCTAGCTGTGATACAAAACTTCTATTATCTATACATCTACTAGTTGAAATCCTCCCTGTCATTTGATACTCATTACCCTGGAACATTTGATCCCTGACTTAATCATCCCCTCCTTTGATTTCCCATGGTGCTTTGTGCTTTCCTATCTGTTTATCTGTTTATCTGGAATATCCTTTCCCCACTCCCTTGACAGGCTATCTATTTTTAAATCTTAGCAATCAACTTAGAGAACACTTCTCTGGGAAGTTGTTCCTGAAATCTCCAGGCTGAGTTATTTATCCACCTGTCCAGGACTGATCCAGTTGGGCTTATTGAATGAAAGAATAAAAGGACTGCTGGGTAAGTATCAGAACCCAGCTGAGGTTTAACAACACAAGTTTGTAGAGGACGAGGTCTGCACAGTTTGGTGTCTTTTTATAATGCTGAAAATGTTAGAATTCATTTTTCTTCTATGAGACAAACAGTACACAAAAGATGTGTAGATTGTAAAACTCTCTTCTGACACTGGCCAAGCCTCCAGTGATTGTACATCTCTGCCAAGGCCCTAAGCAACAACAGTTCAAACATACATTATTTCTTGTGGATGGAGTAGAAGGGTTACTTGCTGGTCTCTGAGCCTGGTTGCGTATAACTCGTGGGTTGAGGTACCATTTGGTAAGGAGCTCCCACTGGAGTTTGAACCTATGAATTTAAATGGAAAAGAAAACAAAAAGTGAAAACTTAATTACCATTTAATTGCTCTCCCAATACGATAGTACCAGGAGCACAAGTAGCCCCTCCAGAGTAAACACGACACTTAATGAACATCAACTGAAAGGAATGCTAACTGCCAGAGAGAAAAGTAGATGTGAAGGAACTGCTGGTGAGATGGTGTGAAGGAATAAGACCTCAAGAATAGTTCTAGAAAAGGAGGCATGAATGAACTACCGATAAGGCCTACAGAGGACTCTTTATGAGAATAAGATCTCCTACATTGCAGGGCCAATAATCCTCATGGGAAAGAGAAGGGAAATCTGTAAGGTGGACATGGAACATGTTAG